ACGGCCGGGACGGGGCCAGGAGGGGCGTGAAGGGAACGAGCTGTTGCTTTGTCCAGCACGCACTCAGGTCTCCTAATGCGCACTTGGGTTTTACTGAACTATGAAATTTGCTTTAGTGTTCTTTTCTAGATAAAATCATTGGCCCTCTGACACAGAACAGGACCCTTAGAGGGGTTTAGCCCGTGTGTGTGGCTAGTGGAAGCAACAAGACTCACCTTTGAGGCCACACAGTCTACACAGGGCAGCGAATGCACTGGACTCCATCTCAATATTCCTCACACCGGCCTCATACGCCCTCCTTAAGTACTCCAACTTTTTTTCACTGGAAAAAGAGCATAATGCACCATCTAATCTCCCCTGACCTGAAAAGGAAGCAGAGAACTGTCACTGTTTGCCTTGCATGGCGTCATGGAGCACAGTGGCAAATGGCAAGTCCAGCAGTGCCCACATTCTGTCTGAGGCACACAAAGTTTTCCTGTGAGCAGCTGGTTAATTCGTATTCCCCTCAGTGTTAAAGCCAGCGAGATGTGTCTCTGTGTATGGGAAAGAATGACGCAGGTTTCAACATTGATAAAAGGTGGAGTCAGCCCTCGGGTGGGAGGAACCAGCAGATGCTGTGCTCTATGGGGACCGGCCATTGCTGCATATCAGCTGGGAAGGTCTACCAGGTTAAAACCCCAAAAATGCCAACTGGCTGCATAAGAGGTGCAACAAGCTGTGCAGAATGGGAACACTGAGGAGAGGAAACCCCTTTAATGTGGGTTTAGTTTTTCTGCAGGGGCTGCTGTGGATGGAAGCTGGGGCTGCTTGCAGAGATTCCTGGCGCAGGCAGCACCGGTGTGGTCAGGGAGCTGGTGCCAGGGCACTGGTGCTGCCCTGCTGCAGCTCCAGGTACCGCTGCAGGCAGGACTAACCCTGCTCAGTGAGGGCAGCCAGCCCGACCCTCTCCTCTGACCCCTGCGGGGCTCTGGCTGTCCTGCTGTGTGCTCAGAGCACGCCTGTGCCCCGTGCAGCTCCTCCTCTCACACTGTCTGAAGGCCCTGGGGCAGGCAATGCTTACCTGTGGCTGGCCAGCCTGGGCCACCCTTCAGTTTATTGCTGCTCCTACTTTAATCCTCTCAAACGGCTTTTTGTTTAAATAAAATATGGACTTGAGCAATACACAGATGGCTGCATCTGCAAGCAGATCTAAAGGTTTATAAATAGTGCTCAGATTATTAATTCTTCATTTATTATGTTTCATCTACTCTGTAATCAGCATTTAATTTTGCAAAGGAAATGGTTCCAGAGTAACCAAAGTTTGTTTATGGAAATCTCACAGGCAACCTAATGTTTTCCTAGTGTTTGGTAGTCCTGTAGTGACAGTCTTGCTGCAGGGGAGCAGCTTGTGGCAAACTCAGCAAGGTGCAAGCAGTGGTACTGTGTGTTGTGAGGGTGCCTGCTGCTCTGCCTGGGCCCCCCAGCACCCTGTGGGTCTCTGCCTGCAGCCCTTCTGGGGCCTGGCTTCCCTGTACAGCTTTGTCCATGGAAGAGTGGAAAACTTGGCATTATGTGTGGTGAGGAGGGACAGACAAAGCTGGTTTTACCTTCGTAGAAGTCGTAGGTGCACATGGTGTGGCCAATGAGCGTGGGGAAGTCGGGGATGTCCCTGCTGCAGGCGAGCAGCTCCTCCGCAAGGTCCTTGTCCAGCTCGGTGCTCCGCACCACCACATCGCCCAGCACCACCTGCTCAAAACGTGGCCGGAAGGAGGAGTCCACGGCCGTGTCGGTGATCACAACAGACCCAGCCTCGATCCCTGTGGAAATGGAAGCTGAGCTTGCCAGAGCTCACAACGCCTGTGTCCTGCTGCCAAACCTCAGCACAACAGGAAAATCTCAATAGATCTGTGTGTGCTTGCAGGGCTCTTCTTTTCAGCGAGTAAAGAAGATGTCAGAGAATAATTGAAATTCATGAAGTAGCACAGATGTACAAGTAAAAATGTACAGAATCAGCACCAGGTAAGTGATTGTGAGAATGTGCTGAGTGACAGGAGTTTAGCTGCTTCTGGTTTGCAGAGATCCTGTACCCCCTACCAGCTTGTGCAGGGATGGGCAGCACCACTGCCTCAGCCAGGAGACACGGATTCATTTGGGTCACCTCTAATCCATGTTTTCTGTTTGGAAAGTTACACATGGCTGTAGTGGAATCGAGGCCTTTGTGCACTCTGAGGATGTGCACTCTGCCAAACCAGTCGCTACAAGTTCTCTGGGTTTGACCCAAAACAAAATACCGTGATGGATATTTAGAGACTTGGAAAAATGTTAAAGTTCAGAGCTGCATGACCTATTGCTGAGAGTTCTTTTTAATAATAGCTGTTTTGCTCTGAAGAAAGACCATGAACTGCTTACCTAAGCCCCCAGAAGTACCGATGCGTATAATAGTAACGTCCCGGCATTTTGCGTGGTGCAGCAGTTTGATCAGCTCATGAAGCATAATGGAAATGGAAGGGATGCCCATTCCATGCTGTTGGAAGGAGAGAAAAGAGAAACATCAGTCCACAAGGCTGCAGCAGGTGACAGGTACATGACTGCAACAAGCTCAGGGTTAGGCTGTGGCCTCTTCTGCTGATGATGCCAACAGCAATTTTTTTGAGGGGGAAGAGACACCTTGGGGTCTTTTTAGTCTGTCCAGGTGAGGTGTCTAACCTCTTCTCCCCTCGATGCTTTAAAGGTTCTTCAAGTTAGTAGAGCTGGTGCTCATCCCTGGGGACCCTGTGTGGGCACACAGATGGTGCCCGTCCTTCAAGGAGGGTCCACAAACACATCCCAACATCTGAATGCCCCCAGACCTTCCCCATGCATTGCCTGTCCTTACACCATGTGCTGACTCTCACTTTGTTGTGTCCTGCTTGTGCTCTGGGAGTGGTGAATTACAGCAAGAACAACCTGAGCCTTCACTTCTCCATGTGCCTTCCAGCCTGTCCTCACCCCACACTGGAGCATCTCTGCAACATTTCTGGGCACAGTGGACAATGGAAGGGTTTGTGTCCCTTGCTGAGGACAGGGTCAGGTGTTTGCTGCGTGCCTTGCAGGCTGCCTGTCCCTCTTCCTGGCTGACATTCCCGCCCTGCTGCCCTTCTGTCCGCAGCCCCTGCCTGGCTACCATTCCCACTGCTGGCCCCAGCTTGTTCCCGTCCTCCACGGACAGTGCTGCCCCACTCCCATCTCTGCTGCTGCTCCCAGGGCGGGCAGCAGTTCTGCAGGCCTGGAGCTGCTGGGGCTTCTGCTGCATCTGCCCAGTGCTTGTTGCTTGGTCATCTGCCTTCTGCTCCATTGCTAGACCAACATCCTTTTCTTAGCTTTACTTTTAAGTACAAAAAGTGTTTGGTGCTGTGGAGTTTGGTTTTTCCTCTTGAAAGTGCCTCACATTTTTTTGGTTTTGTCATCATCTTCAAAAACCTGAAGGAAGCATGTATGGAAGCACCATTGACTAAGGTACACAGCCTGTTTTTGTGTTGCTTTGTCTCCTTTCTCTTTGCTGTGAGAGCAATGCTCTGTTTGCCTAGTATCATGTTTTAAATATGAAATCTTTTTGCATGTTGTTATTCTGGAACATCAGCCTGGCTTATTCGCCGATGCCTAAAAAATTAATTCTCATTGTAAATATTCAGAGCTGGAATCTGTGTTCCTGCCCCTGTATGTTTGAGCTCAGTTGTGTTTCTAAGCAACTTGCAGAAATGTGATGTTGGCAGCAGCTCTGCATGATGCTTCTCAGGGCAGCCATGTGCTCTGCCCCGTGTCCCCTTCTGCACTGGCCAAAGCTGGTGCATGGCCACGAGCTCAGTGGGTTTGCTTCTTGCTGCTGCCAGGCTGGGGAACAGCAAATCTTGTGGCAGTTCTCCCCCTTGGATCCTCTCAGACTGATTCCCTTGGTCAGGATTCGTTTGGTTTTTTCAGAGGGACGAAACACGAGCTCTGTTGTGTGAGTGATTCCATCTGCTGTGAATCACACTTCAGACTAATCTTGTGCCTGAAGAAATGGTGTCAGGACCAAACTTTTAGGTGTGAGTGCTCCCCAGCACAGCCTGTGTTTGCTTTTTCCTTTGTTCAGTGCCAAAAATCCTGCTCTAAAAGAATAATTAATCATAAGGCCAGCTTTTTCTTTTAGACCTGGTATCAGTAATGCTCCCAGCAGCGTTTCATAGTCATGTGTGGTGAGAAGTGGTTTTGCCTCCCAAACTGAGCAGAGCAGAAGATGTGCATGTCTGTTGTTGCTGCGGCCCTTTCCAAATGGAGAGTGCAGGTGCTGGGGAATGCTGTTCAAACAGGAGCAGCCTTGCCATGGCTGAGGTTGCGCTGGTGGCAGTGGCTGAACAGTGGAAGGAGGAAAAGGCTCTGCCGGTGGGTCTGGGGGAGGCG